TCTATAATCATTATATAGTGTCCTTCCTTATGCTTTGTGGTGGATTTTACTCTAAAGTCTATTTTGTCAGAGATTAATATTGCCACTCTTGCTCTTTTTTGATTGTTGTTTGCTTGATATTTTTTCTTCCATCCTTTGAGTTTTAGTTTATTTTTGTCTTTAAGGCTAAGGTGTACCTCTTGTAGGCAGCATATAGAGGGATTGTGTTTTTTTATGCATTTTGGCACTCTCTGTCTCTATTGTTTCATTTAGTCCATTTACATTCAACATAATTAATTATTGATAGGTATGAGTTTAGTGCTGTCATTTTGATGTCTTTTTTGTTTTGTTGACAGTTTCTTTGTTCCATCTAATTTTCTGTGCTGAGTTTTTTTTTTTCCTTATGTATTTTCTTTTCATCTTTTTCATTGTCATTGATTTTGTATTTGCTGAGTATTTATGATTTTTATTTTGATGCGTAGGATTGTTAGTTTCCTTTGTGCTTACCTTAATATTTACCACTATCTTTCTAAGTTGAAACCACTCTTTTATTTCTTTATATAACCTTGACTTCCTCCCCATATGAAAGATCTATGACTACAGTATTTAGTCCTTCTTTTTTGTTTTAATGTTGTCATCTTTTACATATTGATATCTGTTTCCCTATTTTCAGTGTTTTAGCTTTGATTTATTTTTGTGACTTCACTATCTGGGTTGATATCTAGTTGCTGTGTCCTATGTTCTAGTCTTGAATTGTTATCTGATGTTATTGACTTTCTAACCAGAGGACTCCTTTTAGTATTTCTTATAATTTTGGTTTGGTTTTTGCAAATTCCCTAAACTTGTGTTTATCTTGAAATGCCCTAATTTCACCATCATATTTGAGAGACAGTTTTGCTGGATATGTAATTCTTGACTGGCAATTTTTTTCCTTCAAGGCTTTATATATGTCATCCCATTGCCTTCTTGCCTGCATGGTTTCTGCTGAATAGTCCAAGCTTAGTCTTATTGACTCTCCCTTGTAGATGACTTTTTGTTTTTCCCTAGACTTTCTTAAAATTCTCTCTTTATCTTTGGTTTTGGCAAGTTTGATTATAATATGTCTTGGTGACTTCCTTGTGGAATCTACCTTGTGTATAGTTCAATGAGTATCTTGGATAGATATCTTCTCATCTTTCAGAATATCAGGGAAGTTTACTGCCAACAAATCTTCAAAAATTCTGTCTGTATTTTCTGTTATCCCCCCTGTTGTGGTACTCCAATCACTCATAGGTTATTCCTCTTGATAGAGTCCCACATAATTCTTAAGGTTTCTACATTTTTTAAAATTCTTTTATCTGATTTTTCCTCATAAGTTGGTGTCAAGTGCTTTATCTTCAATCTCACTAATTCTGGTTTACATTGCCTCAATTCTGCTCATATGACTTTCCATTGAGTTGTCTAATTCTGACATTTTATTGTTAATTGTCTGGATTTCTGTTTGCTGTCTCTTTTCTATGGATTCTTGCAACCTGTTAAATTTGTCATTATGCTCTTCTATAATCTTCTTAAGTTCCTCTATTGCTTTATCTGTGTGTTCCTTGGCTCATTCTGCGTTTTGCCTGATCTCCTTCCTGTTCTGTTGAGGAGTTCTGTATGTTAATCTTTTGTATTCTACCTCCGGTAATTCCAAGTTCTTATAGGGATTTATTTAAAGGAAATCATTCATGCATTTGTAGAGGCTGGCAAGTCCCAAATCCATGGGTCAGACATCAGGCTGGAGGCTTCGCCTGACTCACATGGTTGTAAGGGCTGACGAACCCAAAACTGGCAGATCAGACAGCAGGCTGCTGGGTCATGTCCCAGGAGTCAAAGGTCAGAAAGTGACAAATCAGATGCAGGATTGAGAGCCAGCAGCCTGCTGCCTGACCTGCAGATTTTGGGACTTGCTAGCTTCCACAACTGTGTGAGCCATTTCCTTGAAATAAATTTCTCTCTCTGTATTTATATGTACACTTCACTGGTTTTGCTCCTCTAGTGAACCCAGCCTAAGACATTTGATACCCGAAGGGTGGGGTGCTGCTTAACAGATACCTAAAATGTGGAAGCGAATTTGGAATTGGGTAATTGGTGAAAAGTGGAAAAGTTTCAAGGTGTCTAATAGTAAAAGCCTAGATTGCCTCGAAGAGACTATTGGTAGAACTATGGATGTCAAAGGCAATTCTGATGATGTCTCAGAAGGAAGTGAGGAGAGCTATATAGAAAGTTTCTTTTGTCTTAGAGACTACATATGGTACCAGCAACAGAATGTTGCTAGAAATGAAGATGTTAAATGTGCTTCTGGTGAGGATTTTTAAAAAATGATGAACATGTGATTGGCAATGGAAGAAGGATGATGCTTTCCATGTAGTGGCAAAGAACTTGTCTGAATTATGTTCAAATGTTTGGTGGAAGGTAGAACTTGTAAGTGATGAACCTGGATATCTGGTTGAGGAGATTTCTAAGTAAAATCTTAACAGGGCCATGTGGTTTTTCCTTTACCTTTATAGTAAAATTCATTAGGAAAGAAATGGACTTAAAAATGAACTGTACAAAATGAAAACAAAACTTGAAGATTTGGAAAATTCTGCTGTACAAACTAAGGACACATGTCCTAGAATTTTCACCAAGGATGTGGCTAAACAATCTTTTGTTAAATGTGACTGATGGATCTAACCAACGTCCACATCAGAAAACCCACCAACTTAGACTGAATGGGACAGAGAAAGAATGAAAGGAGAGAATGCTATCTGCCTCTTGGAATTCTATAGGCAGGAAAGAGGCCAAAGGAGCTACATCTGTTGTCCTCCAAGAAAAGAAAAGAACCATCGCTGGAGAAGCTCCGAGATCAGCAGAGCTGTTGGAAGGGGCACAGGAAGTATAGCTGCCTCAGTCTCAAAGGGTGGGGCCATGGCCTCTGGGGTCTCAAAGGGTGGGGCCACAATCTCTGGGGTGTCAAAGGGTAGAGCCATGGTATCCTAGGTTTCAGAGTCAGATCTTCACCAACTTGGTTTCAGAATGTGGGGCTGCCATACAGTTTGGCCAAGAGAATGGGGCCATTGCCCAAAGCTGAGGGAGTGGGGCTGCCATGCCCAAGGGGCAGAAGAATGGGGCCTGTCAGGGCTGAGAGGGTGGGGGTGCTACTCAGATGAACTAGGAGAATGGGGCTGCCCAAAACTAAGGGAGTAAGTTTGCCATCCTAGTGAGCCTGGAAGGCGGACCTGAAGCCCAGGGTTGAGAGGCCTGCGCCCAGAAACCAGAAGGTGTGGCCAACACGAAGAGTCTGGAGGGCAGGGCCATTGCCTAGATAGTCTCAGAGAACAAAGAATTATTTTCAAGCCTTGAGAGCTAATGGAATTTTTCTGCTGGGTTTTGGACTTGCTTGGTGCCTGTTATTCCCTCTTTCCCTCCAATTTCTCCCAGTTGTACTGGAAAAGTCTACCTTGTACCTGTTCTACCATTGTACTTTGGAAGCAGATAACTTGTATTCTAGATTTCACAGGTTCACATATGAAGAAGAATTTTGCCCCAGGATGGAATAAACCTAAAGTCTTACCCACATTTGATTTAGATGCTTTAGAAGGTGAGATTTTGGACTTGGAGTTGATTTAAGACTTTTGCGATGATGGGATGGAGTGAATGTGTTTTTATGTGGCAAGAATATGAATTTTGAGGGGCCAAAGGATAGACTGTTATGGATTGAATTATGTCACCCCAAAATATGTGTTGTAATTTCTAACCTTTATGCCTGTGGTTATCATCCCATTTGGGAATTTGTTGTCTTTGTTATGTTAATAAGGCAGGATTAGTGTAGGGTGTTCTTGAGTCAATCTCTTTTGAGATATAAAACAGATTAAAACAAGCAAGGCAGAAAGCAGAATTGGGGGACGACAGATCCCAAGCCACGTGAAGATTGCCCAGAAGAAGAAGCTTAAAAGAGACAAGAACCTTTCTCCAGAGCCAATAGAGAAAGAAAGCCTTCTCCTAGAGCTGGCACCCAAAATTCAGACTTCTAGCCTCCTAAACTGTGAGAAAATAAATTTCTGTTATAGCAGCACTAGATAAGTAAGACAATGCCTTCTTTTCCCTTCCTTGAGGGCACCTAGCACAAAGTAGAGGGTCAAGAACTTACCAACTATTGGAATGACTTACTGGCTGTTGGAAAGTTAAGCCTTGTGAGAGATTAAAGATGTATGTTTGAAGACCATTATCATAGACAAAATCATCAAAGCTTTGGGTGAAAAAGCTCTTTTACCAACAGGCTTCCTGCGTGGATCTAGATTTATTTCTTGCAACAAAATATAACTTGTATACATAGAAGGAATGCTCATTTTTGGAGGGAGAATCTTGGTGTGGTTCATTTATATCTATAAAGATGCCATTTTAATTATCCTATTTTGTTTATAAAATACAGGGTTCCACCCCAAATCAACAATTAATTAATTCAATATCTACTTATTGAGCACTGTACCAATCAAGGCTCTGGAACTATCTGCCATCAACTCTTTTCGAAAGCCATAGGAGAGATAACATGTATAGAGGATATTCCAGGTTCTCTCTCTGCACCCCCTCGCCCCTGCAGTTGTATTTCCACATTAGTCCTTTGCTTTTATTTAAGGAACAAGGAGCTATCCTATGAAATCAGTCAACATATTTGCTGAAAAAGAGTTCTGAGGACTTTGTGTATTTTGTCACTTGGTGCCTACATAGGAGGAATTCCTTTTAGTGCTAATTCGCACAAGGCAAAGTAAAAACAAACAAACAAGCATGCAAACTTGCCATCTCTTTGCCAGGTAGCCTTTTTCTCATGAATCCCTAAAACAGATCCTTTATTTTTGCAGGGAATGGATTCAGGTTTTGTGGAGTCTGAGGTTTATACATATTGGGAGAAAAATAAAATCAACAGGAGAAAAAAAGCAAGAATTGAATAAGAGAGAGGAGGATGAAAAAGGAGGAAGAAAGGCCCAAGGAAGTGGGGGAGAAATGGGTGTCAGGTGACCCACCTGGCCAAGTGTGCACTCCATGCCACCTAGGAAGTCAGCCTCCTTCAGCCCATTGTGGTTGCTGCTGATGTCGTGAACTTCAAACCGCAGACGCTGCACCTCTTCAAAGTAAAAGTCCACAGTAAACAGTTTTGAGTATACTGGGTTTATGCAGGTGCGAATCACCTCTGTTCTGTCAACCTGCAGAGAGAGAGAAACAGAAAACCCATCAGGGTTTAAGGCTTTTATTACTGCCCTTCAAGCAAATTAATCTCATGGTGCTTCTCTTTCTTGCAAACCATAAATGCCCTCCATCAAGTCCAGGTTCACCAGAGCAAGCCGTTAGAAACTCTACAAGGAAGCACCTTAGAGAATGAGCCAAGTTTCAGAGAGGAAAATCTTATTAGACATAATAAAGAAAATGAAGCATTGTGTTTGAAGTTTTAGAGCATGTTATATTATTAGGTACAGGGGCAGCAAGTGGATCAATTATTAGTGGCTTCCTGGAGCCTTGGGTTGTGAAAGACTCTTAGGGCAAGTCTGGGCTCAGGAGGAAAGAAATGTGTAATTGATTAGTGATGTCTGATGGGCACAGTAATGGCAGAGTGGGTGTCCATTTTAGCCAACCCTACTCTGAGTTTTCTATCTCATGATTCCCAGAATAATGAAGTGGAAAGTTATCAGAATGGACATGCAGGTAACTAACTACCTTTGGTTTCACCTCTACCCTTTATTAGGTGTGTAATGTTTACCCACTTGTTTCAATTCCCTGGCCTCAGTTTCCTCATCAACAAGATGAGTATTAGAGGATTAGAGAATGAAAAGTCCCTTTCTGCTCTAACATTCCATGAATTCATAGGATTCCCCCTGCCTGATACAAATTTGCCACTTTCTGCCTGACTCTGTGCCCCAGGAGGATGACCTCTGTGGACTGCATTTCTTGGGCTCCCTTGCTCTCTGGGTTCTGGTTGGAGTTAGCCAAAGGGAGGACTTGGCAGGAGACTGGAAAGTGGGGAACAGAGAGGTGGGTGCAGGCAGTGGCTGCATGCCTCTCACACACAGCTTCTGCCAGCAGACTCCCTTTTACAGAGGGAGCTCTTGCTGGGATCTGGTAACATATTCTCCCTCCACCCTTCAGACTGAGGAGTGGTAATTGCTTCCTGCCATGGCTACCCTCTATGCCTTGCAATTCTTTGTTGGCTCCCTTAACCCTGCCCACACCCGTATAAAGAGTCCCTCTGTAAAGAGTTTAACCCTTTAGGCTAAACTCTCTGGGTATGCCATCTGTTTTCCTGCTGGAATCTTTACCACTAAAGATCTTTTCTTCTATGTTTGTCACAAGTAAAAATACACAAAACCATTTATATTCTAGGAAGCCTTAAGGGACCAAGCTAGAGATAACTCAAGCTCCTATAGCACCTCTCAACTGGAGATACCAATCCTTCATATTTTATAAATCAATGGAGCCTATATGTACTCTTGGCTTTCAAATAGGAATATGTTTTGTTGACAAGTTTCCAAGTGTCGTTCATTAGCATAAACTATGAAAACCATTTCCCTCTCTTTCATATTAGCCAAGGAAATAGTCTCTCAATAAAATGAAGGGAAGGCAGTCTTTGACCATATCATGCATGTCCCGTGTTGTCCATCAAAGAAAATGTAATACTTGCTGCAGCTTCTCCTGACACTCTTGAATTCCATGCTTCCTCACTGGCCCCTACAACTTAGGACTCTGTGGGAGAGAGGGTTGTCCTTAAGAAACACTCACCTGCCATTCTTGGTAGCATATAGACAATCCAAGTTGGAAGGAGAATGAGAATATGGTTCTTTTTTTTTTTTTTTTTGCTCTTGGATCTTATTATTTATTTTTTATTGTGCTTTAGATGAAGATTTAGAGAGCAAATTAGTTTCTCATTAAACAATTAACACACATATTGTTTTGTGACATTGATTGCCAACCCCACAGCATGTCAACACTCTCCCCTTCTCAACCTTGGGTTCCCCATTTCCATTTGTCCAGTTTTCCTGTGCCCTCCTGCCTTCTCGTCTTTCCCCCCGGGCTGGTGTACCCATTTAGTCTTGTGTACATGGTTGAACTACATGTATTATTGTTTGTTTTATGGACTTGCTAATCTTTGAAGGGTGAACCTCAGGAGTGACTTCAGTACTGAGTTAAAAGCGTGTCTGGGGGCCATACTCTCTGGGTTTCTCCAGTCTCTGTCAGACCAGTAAGCCTAGTCTTTTTTTGTGAGTCTGAATTTTGTTCTACATTTTTTTCCAGCTCTGTCCGAGGCCCTCTATTGTGATCTCTCTCAGAGCAGTCGGCGGAGAATATGGTTCTGGTTATGTCTCTATCCAACAGATAGAAAACCAAACCCCAACTCACTGCTGATTAGCATTTTAAAACAAGTTACTGTTTAGACAAATGGCTGTTCGACTATTGTGGCTTCCCACGAACACTCAGCTTCTATTTGAGCTGAATTTTACATTTTTATATAATGCTAGTTCTGGGGACAGGACTGATTATGCCATTGACTGATGGTATGGGAACAAGAATTTCCTTTTTTTTTTTTTTAAGTTGTTACAGAACATGGTTTTGAATAACAGTATAAATCAGAAATAACAAACTAGTAGTCTTCAGGCTCAAGCTAACTTAGAGGTGTTTTATTTGTCCCACTCAAAGTGTTTTTCCCTTAATTTGCCAACATGAAAAAGGAATATTTCTATTGCTCCACTCTTGGAAAATTATCAGAATATCTGGCAACGCTGGCCACATTCCTAAATGGCAACTGTTGGGGGTTGCCCCATTCAGACAAGGCGTTCATTCCCCAGTTCACACGGTCCCTTCCAGATCTTTCTCCCCTCACTGAATTTCCCCACCTGGCCCCTACGGGCATTTGAGTTTGCAACATCTGATCCAAATTCATGGAATAATGAATATGTGATAAGGGAATTTATTATTTGCATATAGTGCCTTTTGATAGAAGATTTCAAAATAATCCCCAAAAAGTAACTTACAGGTGAGTTTGACATCCTCAACTGAGACACAGCAAAGGTACCTTCTCTTCTTGTTGAAGGAATAATAGAGTTCTGTGCAGTTATAGATGATAAGAGATAGGAGATGGAAATGCTATTCTTTGTTTCTCTGCTTTGTTGTTGTTAGTTGCCATTGTGTGGACTCCGACTCATGGCTACCTTACATATAAAAGAAGGAAATGTTGCCCAGTCCTGTGCTGTCTTCATGATTGTTGGTATGTTTGAGTCCATTGCTGACATTTCGTATTCCACTTACTCATATTTTGAGTGATTTCCAGCTTGGTGAGTCTCATTTTACAGCACTATATTGACAATATTCTGTTGTGATCCATAAGGACTTTATCGATTAATTTTCAGAAGTAGATCACCAGACTTTCCTTCTTAGCCTGTCTTAGTCTGGATGCTCTGCTGAAACCTGTCCAGTATGGATGAAGATACTGGTATTTGAAATACCAGTGGCATAGCTTCTAGCATCATGCTGTACAACAAACTGACAGATGGGTGGTTGGCACAAATAGTTCTTGATTTTCAAACAAGTGTCTCACATGGATATAAAGTTCATGTTGGCATCAAGTCACACACCTTAGACATACTATTCAAGGTAAATTGTCAGTGTGCAACTCTGAACTATTTTTTTTTTTTGAAGGAAATCAGTAATTTGACATAAACCAAATAATAAATATTTACAATACCAAGATAGATAATTTCCAAAGGTAATCTCAGGGCGAGTAGAATTCCAAGAGTAGAGGTGCTCAGGAAAAGAAGGGAGATGATGATAGGGGAAGTGGTTGCAATACTACATGCATATTTTGGAGGATTTTTCGAAACATTCTGCATTCCCAGTCATTATGGGAGATGTATTATCTTTTCTGGAGGCTTGTGCAAGGTTTAACTTGAGCAACACAGCCTAAGGCAGCTCATTTTCTCATTGAGAGGCATCAAGGTCAGGGTAGTTGTTTCCAAAACATCCAGCATCCACTGACTGGTGCTCCCTGGCTGCATCAGAATCAACAGGGTGGGTAACTTCTTTAAAACTCAGATTCTTGTTCCCTACCCCATGTGATACTGACTCAATAAGTACAGAGTGGGGCCCAGGAGCCTTTAAATATTTATACTACTTTTCAAAGTATTCTAGGCAATTCTAATGGAAATCAGGGTCTAAGGAAAATGAGATGTGGGGTCTATCCCTTGCTCTTGTGTGAAATGTGTCAATGTTTCTTTTAATCTTGCAGGCCCTCATTTACCCAGTCTGCAAAATGTGAATGCTAATCTCCTCTCCTCCCTAGTTGTAATGACTGATATATTCACGCCACTTTATAGTTGACAGAACATGCTCACATCTATTTTATTCATTTGATTCTTACAGGGATCATGGGATGTATCATAATACCGTTTTACATATGAGAAAGTACAGGGACACATATCAGCACAAGCTACTGGATGTCAGAGTGGGCACTGAACTCATGTCCTGTGACCTCAAAGCCTGGCCTATGTTCCTAATTCACGTTTACTCATAAATATCCCTAGAAGGAAAGGGAAAATGTAGCTAGGTTATGGTATGATGGTGACAGAATAAATAACTGAATACTGATTTTGATGAGATGCTCTTTTAAAATTTTCACCTAAAGTATTTTTCAGCATAACAATAAAATTTATAATCACTAACACTTACTGAAGACCTACCATGCCACAGCCTCTCTCTTTATAAACTGTTTTATTGAGATATAATTGACATATAATAAGCCACACTTATTTAAAGTGTATAATTTGATACGTTTTGACATACGTATGCACTTGTGAAAACATCACCGCAATCAAAATGGTAAACATGTCCATTACCCCCCAAAGTTTCCTCATGTACCTTTAAAATTCCACCCTCTTGCTGCTCCCTGACCCCCATTTTCAAGCAACTACTGATCTGCTTTCTGTCACTATAGATTAGTTTGTGTCCTTTAGAATTTTATGTAAATGATATATAATACGTTTTTGTCTTGCTTCTTTCACTCAGCATAATTTGAAATTTATCCATGTCATTGTATGCATCAATGGTTCATTCTTTGTATTGCTGAGTGGTATTCCATTGATGGACATTTAGATTGTTTCCAGTTTTTTGGCTGTTACAAACAAAACTGCTGTGAACATCATGTACATGCCTCTGCATGGAC